TCTACTACTCCCATCCCAGGCTTGCCCTACGGAGTTCTCTGACTATACCCGATCCAGTCCTCAGTTGCTGAAAGCCTCCTTGTGATGCCAATTAGCCATCACCTGAATACCATCACATGCGGCGAGGCTCAGATAATCCTTCAAGTAAAAGGCTCGTCCCTACAATGGTTAGACTCAGACAAGAGCTGTGCAATAGGGCCAAGTCTAGCACTCTAAGATTATTCAACCCTGTTCGCATGTGACGTGATGCATTCACCTAATGGCTAACTCCCATCACTTAGAGTCCCACAAATCACAAAGCAACCAGCATTCATACATAGGAGACTACTCAAGCAATTCTATCCTCATAATGGGAAACTGTACTAGCATACAATGCTAAGCTCATGTTATCAGGCATAACCTAAACAGGCTATCCTACTACTTTCTACTCAATCCTAGCATGCAATTTTCATATACTGAAGCAAATAAAGCAGGCGCATAAGGCACCACTCCTAGATCCTTAGTCCTATTCTAGCATGATGTTATACTGAAACTGATAAACATACATAAACTTGTATGGGTACATTGGGGAATACTTACTTGAGCTCGGACGGTCGCACACATCACACACTTTGTTCCATCTTAAAACTCTTTACTTAACCTTTTAGAAAACATTTTTCTTTTTCAAAATATTTTAATCCCTTGATTTGAGTTCAGACACCCCTGAAGGTGTGTCCGAATCCGTCAAACCAGGGCTCTGATACCAACTTGTAACATCCCAAAAATTATGGGCCAAAAATTTCATTTTTAGTTAAGTAAATTGCAAAACGTTAGTAACAAAATATCATTCGACCATAGCATTTAATAAAACATGTCTCGCGTTTGTAAACAAGAACGTAAATCATAATAATATTAGAGTACAAATCCCAGAATGTATCATAGTGTGGAAAACAAGAGCGTGTGTGTGATATGCCGCTACCGCGCCAGTCCAAGTTCATCCGACTCGCCGAGTTCAAGAACAACTCGTCGAGTCTAAGGAAATCTTCATCGGACTCGCCGAGTTGCTCATCCAACTCGCCGAGTCCACGGCTATCTTCATAGAACTCGCCGAGTCCAAAGTTATACTCGTCGAGTTCATTCGGTCCTTTTTACATACAGACCTGATTTGAGCCATGCAGCAGCTCCAAACCACAAATCTAGGCTTCTAGGGCATGCTTATCATGTAAAGTTGCAAACTTTACGTGCATGCATAGCTTTAGGAGCTTCAAATGTCCAAACCAAGCTCTTAATGGGGTTTTAAGAACAAGAGGGATCTTAATCACAAATATGACTGAAACTTAACACTTCTAGAAGGTAATGAGAGTCCAGATCTGAAGTATAACCCAACCATAAGGTTTCTCTACAAGGATTTGGGGTTTTAGGGCTTAAAGGCAACAATTTAGGGACAAACAAGATCTAATAGATCAATAATCAAGATGGAAACTTTATTACCAGAATGGATGACCACAAACGAATGTGTTCTGGATCTAAGTCCCCTTCCTTGACCTCTTCAACCTCTCCCTTCTTCCACTTGCTCTAAAGTGCACCAAAAGTCCCTTCACAAGGCAACAATCACTCAAACTTACCAATGGAGGCTAGGGTTTCGATAAGGAATGCTCTGAGGGTGATGGAGGCTGAGATGGGGCTATAAGGATGTTTAAATAGGGTGCAAACCCTAAGGATTACGGTCTCCTCCTAATTGGCCTACTCATCGAGTCCAGGCATGGACTCGCCGAGTAGATCACTTAAAGCCCGCATCCAACTCGACATCTACTCGGCGAGTTAGGGCTACAACTTGCCGAGTTGCTCTTCCAAAAGAAACATGTAATCAAAATAAATACGTACCAGGAATGGGGCATTACATTAAGATTACTGATGATTGTTTTGTACTGGCATCAAGGGTTCATCGGGGTTATATATTAGAGTTTCTTAATGAATGGCACCCGATTGATTTGATTCCCATTCCTCTGCATGAGAGTAAGGTTATTGTGGGGATTGATTGGTTGACCTCTAATGGGGGCAATATTGATTGTGAACATGATCGGGTATGTATTTGTACCCCAAGTGGGGTAGAGTTGGTGATTCGGAGGAATGATGTTTAGCATGGGCCGACTCTTTGTTCAACAGCTAGGGCCACACGCTATCTTCAGCACAGTTCATCTGGATTTGTGGCATATGTGATGGATACCTGGGAAAAGGTAAGAAAACTATGGGTGATGTACCGATTGTTCGGGAGTACCCGTATGTGTTTCCAAAGGAATTTCCTCGAGTGCCTCCAGAGATGCAAGTGGAGTTTTTGATTGACTTGGTTCCAGGTGCAGCTCCGATAACTAAAGCACCTTATCGGTTAGCACCCCCAGAGATGCAAGAGTTGTCTATATAGTTGCACGAGCTGATAAACAAAGGATTTATTTAGCTGAGTAGTTCACCATGGGGCGCACCGGTTTTGTTTGTGAAGAAGAAGGATGAGTCACATCAGATGTGTATTGAATACCAAGAGCTAAATAAGCTAACAGTGAAGAACCATTATCCACTCCCAATGATTGAAGATTTATTTGACCAACTCTAGGGTGGATCTTGGTTTTCCAAGATTGATCTGCATTCAGGTTATCACCATATGAGGGTAAGAGAGGAGGATATGAAGAAGACGACCTTCTGAACTCCTTATGGTCATTACGATTTCATGGTGATGCAATTCGTGGTGATACTAGATCGGTCTAAGATTGTGTATATTGATGACATCCTGGTTTATTCCAAGACCCAGGAGCAACATGGGGAGCATCTGAAGGAGGTATTAGAGACTCTAAGGAGGGAGAGGTTGTATGCAAATTTCTATAAGTGTAAGTTATGGTTATGCAAGGTGCACTTGTTGGGGAACCTTGTCAACCAGAAGGGTATTCTGGTCAATCTGGCCAAGGTTGAGGTGGTGATGAAGTGGGAAGCTCCAATGTCTCCATATAAGATTTGGAGTTTCCTTGGATTGGCAGGTTACTATTAGAGATTAATTCAGGATTTCTCCATTATAGCGGTTCCTTTGACCTGTTGATGAAGAAGACTGTCACATTTCGTTAGGGGTCTGAGTAGTAGGCATCTTTTGAGATCCTGAGGCAGAGATTGTGTGAGGCATCGATTCTAAACCTATCAGAGGGTGTTGAGGATTTTGTGGTGTACTGTGATGCATCAATCACATGTTTGGGTGCAGTGTGATCGCTTACACTTCGAGGCACTAAAGCCGCATGAGGCGAATTATCCTACGTATGATTTGGAGTTAGGGGTTGTGATGTTCACCCTCAAGATTTGGTGACATTACCTCTATGGAATTCGTTTTACTATTTACACATATCAAAAGATTTTAAGGTATTTGATGGATTAGTGAAATTTGAATATGAGGCAGCATACATGGTTGGATGTGGTGAAGATTATTAATGTGAGATCCTTTACCACCCGGGGAAGGCTAACATGGTGGCCAATTCTCTTAGATGTAAGGAGGCTACTGCCCCTATTAGGGAGGTGTGTTTAAGGATAACCGTTACTACCCCACTCGTAGATTATATTCGAGAGGCTCAGGCGGAGGCTATGAAGGAAAAGCACCGGAAGAGTAAGTGCATAGTAGGTCAGGTGGCTTCCTTTGATTATGATAGTCGGGTATTATTGAACCTTCATCAAAGGGTGTAGGTTCCATATTGGGGTGGTACGCGCCGGGTTTTGATAGGGGAGACATAGCCTGGTATGTGGAGGGGTGCTTGACTTGCAGGAAAGGCAAGGCAAAACATCAGCGACCTCACGACAAGATGGATCTGCTGGAAGTTCCCTTTTGGAAATGGGAATAGATTATGATGAGTTTTATCACAAAATCGCATCGGACGGCGCGCAGAGTGGATTTGATATGGTTCATCATAGATTGATTGACTAAGAGCGCGCATTTCATTCCGATCCAGGGGAGTATTTCGGTGGATAAGCTAGCCAATATCTATATTCGAGAGGTGGTGGCATGGCATGGGGTTTCGTTTTTCATGGTCTCTGATAGGAATGTCCAGTTTACTTCCAGGTTCTGGAATAGATTCCACGAGGAGTGGGTACTCGTCTGCACTGATTAAAATATTGGTTATAGAAATAAGATCATTCAAGTGCATCAGTGGAAAGTCAATAATTATGAACTCGAACTCCACATTAATAGCTCTCACAACTAAATATCAAAATTTTTTGAAGCAAACCCTTGAGCAAGGTATCCCTTTCAATTTTCATCACCTTCACTATTTTCACCAACGACCATACATAATCTTCATCTTTTGCCAAGATAGCATGAAAACGAATCTTCAGTGTTTCTATATTTGTTTTTATCTTTGAATTTATCTGCTACTTTGAACTGTGGAGATGTGAAGAACATGTGATTGATTATAAAATCAAGTTGATTATAGTACGAATTTTTCAAATTCAGAGTTCTTCTTTGGCCTTTTAAGGAATTCGTCATTCTTCCCAAACACCACGATTTTAATCATTTCATAACACCAGTGCTTGTTCATATCACCTTTGTTCAGGCCTAGTAGATCATTCTCCCTTTGACGAAGAATCTTATTGATTTGCCTTTGTCATTCCATTATGCAGCTCGTTGCTCCTTCTTTTCTTCATTTGATTGTTCAATCAGGATGACCTTCCCTTTTTCTTTTGGATCATTTGTTGAAGTTGTTTTAACAGGAGCTTTACTCGAACCTCCTTTTCCTTTTTTTAATCTAGATGCTTTCAATGGCACTCTCAGCTCATTTATTGTTGTAGATGTTGTAGTCGAAAACACCATTATAGGTTTCATCGGAATTGAAGTTGGAAACTAAGACGAAATCACCTTCCTAACTATTGCTCCTGTATCACTACCAAAATCTTTTGTCGATCCAAATCCTCTATCTCCCCCTTCTAAAAGTTTCACAACATGTCGAACATTGGTTTGTTAACGAAGTAACAAACTAAGTATTGGAGCGAGCTCAGTTTTAATGTTTGACTCGATGTTCAAAACCATTTATGAGAGAGATTCTTAAGAGATGTGATTGATTCGAAAGATAAACCTTTGATAAAGTTTCCTTAATGCCAGACACGAATTCTTCCAACTTTTCAAACACCTTTGCATCCTTCTCTGACTTGTCTTCAAACTGTTTCGTGTACTCAGTGTTGAACTCAACCAATCGAGTAATTACACCAGAATAAAAATAAACTTTGCCATGCAAGTCTTTGTAATAGTTATTTCCTCCAGTATCTGATTTAATTTGAAGAAGATAGTTGAGTTTTGAGTTGAGGATCTTGTATTCCTTACTTGACATAATGAGTTCATTAGGAAGTTTTTCCTCTTTAGGGTTGAATTGAAGATCATCAAACGAAACCATGATATTATCATCATCAGCTTACTTTTATGGTTGTGACTTTTTAGTGGATTGAGATGAGAAGAGAGTGGTGATAGGTTCCTTTATGACACCAACGAATGTTTTTGATATAGTCGAAACAGAAACAAAAGTAAGAATGGGTGATGGTGGTGGTGGTAAAGCTGTTGAAGTTCCGATGGTAGATCTGACCAAAGATTCAATGTTGAACATCCCTTCATCCATGTTGATATTTGTTCCCTTATTAGATAAGTCCACAGTGATGACTGGAGTTCCAACCTCCTCCTTACTAGACTTAGTATTCAAAACTCCTGATGGTTTGACTATTGCCTTCTCATGGATGTTGGTGTGTTTTTTTGTCACTCGAATTGATGTTTGTATCCGAATTAGATACGTTTACAGTGACATCAAGAATAATTGTCTCCTCTAAAATCAACTTGACATAGGTATCCGTTCGCAGTTAACCGATAAAGGAATCCTCGATGCGAATGTCAGACCTTTCTCTATCGCTATCATTCTTGGTTTCGGCTGTTACATTCTTAAGTGGAACACTAGCTTCAAGTTTTCTCTTCTTTAACTTTTTATCCATGCCAATAGCTTGATGTTCCTTTAAGGCTAGTGATCCAAGAGACGAAACTTCACGAAACAGAACACCCTTTCTGGTAAATTGTGGCCTTTTAACCTTCATTAGACCATCCTTAGAAGAAACAAGATTTGAGGGTTCGACAACAGTTAGCTCAACACTTTCGAACAAAGGCTCATGAGTAGTTGTATTGATTGGAGATGTAGAAGGCTTATTGGCAGGTTTCTTAGTGTGTTTAAGAACCCGAGATTTCGTCGGTATGGTTTCTTTAACAATTTTCTCCTCCAGAGCTTGTAGTTTTTCGACTTGTTTCTTCTTCTTAAGAGCCTTTGAACCTTTAGATTTTCCTTCTACCTCCTTTGGTGGAAGAACCCATGTTAGATTATAAGAATCAATAGTGGCCAAATATTCTACCAACAACTAATTTTGGGATCCACAAGCTTGATTAAGTTTGAAGAGTACAAGAGTGTTTGAGAGTACAAATACGAATGACCTATTATTTGATTGTAACTCTACTCTATGTACTTACCCCATTTGTTCCCTTAACCAACTCGTCGAGTCAAGTCAACTGGAGGTTGACTTTGACTAGGATTTGGGTTGACCTTTATGGGGTTGTAAGTACGAATTGATGACTTAATATAGTTTTCGTGTAGGGATTGAGGAGTCAAGGAAATTCGATTTCCACACCGGGGACAGTTCAGACACTACACGACATTGAGGTGAGTTACCTTCCAGTAGAAGTAGGTCTAAGGCACCAAGGCCGACCCACTAGTAGTTGATTATAGTTGAGATGATTTTCTTTGTGATAATTTTCTGGTTTGCTATTACTTGAGATGTTATATGTGCCAGTATGCTATGTTCTATGTGATAGTGGTAGTAGGAGGGGAATAGTCCCCCAATCGGTTGTTAGGACCGAAGGGTAGGTCGGACACCCCAGATATTTCTGAAAGCATGTTTATGATATGTTATTATGTGATAATAGTAGGGGTGAAATAGTCCCCATGACCGGGTGAGATAGACCGGAGGGTAGGTAGGCACCCCAGAATGGCCTGACATGGGTAGTCAGCACCTTAGAATGGCTTGACACAGATAGTCAGCACCACAGAATGGCATAACATGAGTAGGTCGGGCACCCTAGAATTGCATGGCAGCATGTATGATTGTATGCTATGTGGTATGATGGGGGAACTCACTAAGCTTTGTGCTTACAGTTTCAGTTTTGGTTTTAGATACCTCTTCATCCAAGGGGAATGAGTCGGCGGCGTAGCAACGCATCACACACACACACATGATTTCCATATTGAGTTTTCTGGGATTGTACTCTGATTTATACTACTGTTTGACGTTTTGATTTTGAGACATGTGCATGATGGTTCATGGATTGATATGATATTGACAATGTTTTCAGTAAACGATTTTATAAATTACTTAATTACAAAAAAAAAAAAATAGACTCAAAATTTGGGATGTTACACATAAAAAGGAATGTGACAAAAGTTGAATAAAATGAAGGGAAAGCCCATATTTGTTTACATCTAATATTGAGTTAAGAATGAGATTAATGTTGAATCGATGATGCTTTTAATTTTGTGTTTGGTTTATCTTTTAGTGACATTATTACTATCAGATTCTCGACATTGAAAACCAATGAAGTGGCCATGTATATAAAGTTATGGCTTCGAAATGGGGTTTATATATTGAACTTAGGGCTAATGCCATAAAAGCCCTTAAATTTTTAGAAAATTATCGATTTACCATTTTCCATCTTTTATGTTCAATAAGTTGGAAGTTTCGGATTCCGAGTTACTTGTTGCGGGTTACATGAACATGTGACACACCATGTAGGCGCTGATAGGGATTCTCAGGATGACATGGTGTCGGTTATTCCTCTCCTTAATATGGTCTATATTGTATAAACTACATATGTTTTTTATACATGTACAGGTTTCATTTATAAATTTATAACATTCATTTTTAAATGTAAAATGATGACAACTATGATAGCGACGGCGATGACGACAACGACATCAAGAACAATGGAAACAACAAAAGCAGCAGCAACAACAACAACAACCAGACCGGACCGAACCAACTCTTAGACCGGACTAGTTTGGCGGAAATGGGTGGACCTTGGATCGGACCAGTTGAGGTCGATCAGGTCTAGTGCACGTTCGTGTTTTCTAGTTCTAGTACCCATTGGAATGGTACACCTTAATTTGCATATGGTACAACTCGCTGAAGCCTACCGTATGTTAGGTTATCTATTACGATTCTATGGTGGAGTATTTGGACTATTCCGGACCGACTCTTAGACTGGGCCAATTTTGCAGAAAGTAGTGGATCTTGGACCAAACCTATTAAGGCCGGTCCAGGTCCGGTCCGCTCTAGAGGTCCAAATGCGTTGGTCAAGGTCTGGTCCGCTTTAGAGGTCCAAATGCTCACCCTTACTTCTAGCCTAGCGGTAAATTGGAAAGCTTGAGAGGGAGAGTGACTGGGATCAATACTTTTTTCCCTCCCTACTTTCTTTAATGTCCAACTAAAAGGAAAATTCATCGTCCACATCAGCAAAAGGAAAAAGCATCATCTAGTCATTGTCCACATCAACTCTAAATGTCTGATTAGCACACACGTACACGTTTGTTGGCAACTGATAACCTATTGAAAAAGGAAAAATGTAAAAGCTTGCCAAAAACATTTGGTTTTAGGGAACACAAAAGACAACAAAGCGTAAAGCCATGTATGTTTATATACTTAAGCAGGGGCGAAGCCAAGAAAGTAGAACAAGGGGGGCATGACAAGCTTCTTAATTTTGGGTTTGGAGGGCACTATTTTAATTAACTATGATCTAGATTAGGTTCCATTTTAACATTCTTATACCATGTTTAATAGAATGGGATGATGGGTTTTAGATGTTATATTCTAGTGATGAATCTAATATTCTAACTCAATTATGTCCAATTTTATCTAGGTGATTCTAGTGTTATATTGTTCTTTACGATTCTTCATTTTCTAGAAACCTATTCAGTAATCTTGTTTCTAGAAACCTATTCATTGGTAATCTTGCATAAAAGCAACGGAAAGTAAATTGATGTACATACATTTAGTAACTACTAAATAATTACAATTGGACAAACTTTTATAAGCAACACAGTAAAAAAAAGGATAACATATAATAGGAAATGACAACTCAATGTCAATAAAGTAGATCAATTCAAAATCCATCAGGGAACACCACCTGAAAGGCTATTATCTAGGTGTAGTAAATTAAAAATAAACAACAAATAAGAGAAGTAATATTTTATAAGAGGATAAATCAATGTCATATTTCCATTATTACTGCTATGGGCAACGAATGAGAGAGAAACTCATAGTGATGTTGCAAGAGAATCTGCTACACAACAGAGAGGATCAGTGTCGGTGCCGACGACAGTTACAAAGAATGGAGACCGACGAGAGCATGATAGAACTTTAAGAGGATAAGGGGAGAAGGAGATGCCAAGAGCGTGAGTCTGAGAAGGTGAGACTGGAGGCGTGAATCATGGCGGCGATGATCAAACTCGATATGCGGCAGTTTTCTTTAGGTTATGATTGAATTCCTTACATTATTTTGAGGAATTTTTAGACTTTTTGAATAAGCTTTTGATAGATTTAAGAGTTTATAATATATTGGATTTGATTTGAATTTTTTCTAACTGATTCTTTAAATAAAATGTATGAGATCCTACTTAGTTCCTATTTTCCTGGTGTCATCCCCAAAAACTACCTATGTCTTCGTTTCTTTTTCAGATGAAAATATAAAATGTTTTATATTGTATGGGCTATACTGAACTTTAGACAAGTTGAAGGGGGTTGAACACCCTCATGCCCCTCCGCCAGTATACTTAAGGGTTTTTATGATGTTAGCCTTTGAAATTTTATTTATTTATTTTTTATGTTAATTTTAGAAAAGATGCCCTGTTAATTTGAAGCCATGTACATTTTACAAATTTTTGGCCTAAAAATTACTAATTTAAAAGATATATAGAAAAGATGTAGTCTATAATGTAGTTAAAATTTTAATATTATATTAACAAATGTTTTTATTCAAAATAAAATACCATAAACCTTACTTCTAAAACCAAAAGATATTAATCATACGAAATACCTAAGATAACAAAACCAAAATATGTAAATTACATGAAAAACATATGTAATATATCAATTATAGAGTTATGAATTTAGTTCCAAAATAAAACTAACTTGGTAATTGAAACACAACTTATCAAATCAATATTTGCATCATTTACGCGATTAACGATTAAGCGAAGACAATTTAAGTAACATAAAGGCAATTATTCCAATAAAGCACGAATAAAATAAAATCTGATTCTTTGAATGCATAATGATATTTTGCGCAGGTTTATTAATGATTCTTGTAACATAT